GAAACACAGTCGCAGAAAGGAGAACATCAGGACCTTGCAATTCCCACCGGGAAAACGGGAAACAGCCCCAGGTTTGGGAATGAGAACAAGTCTGGGCACACGAAACGTCTTCCAAGCCCTGGCTCTGGAAGGCCCGGTGCACTGGGAAGCCCTTGATCACTTACTGCTGAAGATTAAAAGCTGAGACGGGACGAGCCAGCTCATCCCTTTGGAAACCTAAGCCAAGAGAGGGGAAGAGAACACAGCCGGCCAGAAGGGCTCACCAAAATCCATGAATTTGACATGTTCCTGCTGGGGCTTCTTCACCAGGATGGTCTTCTTCTTGGAAGCTTTGATCTGCTTCAGCAGGGCCTCCTGGACGTCAGCTGCTGTGTAGGAAGTGGCTGCACGTAGGAGGAGAAAGAAAAGGCAAGTGTGAAGATGCAGTCCCACCTAGGAGGCTTCCTGACCTCCTCACGACGCATCCGAACCATTCCTTCCCCTAAAAACACATTTCTAGCCTTCCAGGCACCAGTGTGGGGTGCGTCGCCTCCCAGGTTTTCTCACAGCATCTGCTGCTCCTTGCATCTTCATGCTCCTTGCTCATGCTCATTTCTTATACTTATTTATACACTGCTGACAGTACCTGCTCCCTGCTCAGGCGAGCAGTGATGGCAGGGACAGGAACAAGGACAGGGGAGGGTCTTACCTGGGTCAAAGTGGGACTCCACAATGACACGGACAGCGCTACTCTGCCCCAGGTCTCGAACGCGGATGCTCTTGAAATCCTTCTTAACATCAGAATGGCGGAAAAGCTCATCCAGCTACTTGGTCAGAGGCAGAGGAGGAAAGGCAAACAAACTGATCAATGAGGACAAAAACTTAGGTCAAAGATCTTGGGTCTCAGTGGGCGTCCTTCGTTGCACCTCACTGCAGCCTGCACCCAAATGGATGAACTGGCCAACGAGGCTTTCTGTGCATGTTTGGATTCTCAGATTGAAGTCACTAGTGCACTGGGAAATATTGTATGACAATGCAGAACTGCACGAACCATCTGGTCCATATGCCAGGCACACATCTGCTTGTACGGCTGCACTGAGGGCTTGCCAACTTTTTAGTGCAGCTTGGAAAAAGCTCTAAATACGTTCAGCTCCTTGCAAAGATGTTTTCTATGACACTTTGCGTTAAGGCGAAGGCTCTTGTCCACAAACAGCCCCATACCAGTGAGCAGGCACCAGCAGGAGAGCGTGCCCAGGAAACACCATCACTGGCATGGACAAGTATGGACATGGATGGTTAGGAGCCACTTGGAGAAACTCTGCTCATTCAAGGAGCAGAGGACTGCACTTCTGGAGGTCACCATTTGGGTTTTAAGCATCTGTCCCTCATGGCACACATGGAGTGCAGGGATCTCTTTCCTTTAGCCAAGGTTGGAAATGCCCTAGTTGGGCTCCAGATCAAGTGCAAAGGACTCACCGCACTCTCGATGCTCCTGGCCGTCTCCCCAAAGAGCTCGGATTTGGGGTCAGCCATCTCGGGTGTGTAGAACAGCTCCTGGCCTTCCACCTCCTCCAGGATGAGGACTCCTTGGAAGACTTTGGTAGCTGTAGAAGGAGGGCAAACAAGAAAAGCCCTTCAATTTGGCTAGTGGGATGGTGGGGGGCAGAGAGTGTTCAGTCCCTGGGGGAACAGGAGATGGTGGCATGTGGGTAGTGCCAGTGTTGGGGTTAGTCTGGATGGGTCTGGGAGGAGAGCATGGAAGATTAGTATCGGAGGGTGCTGGAGCGGATGGCAAAGACCAGGCTGGAGATGGCAGCTTTTACCAGACAGTTTCCTCTGAGCTCTGGCCTGGAGAGCAGCCCCCCTGCACGGTCTGAGCGACAAGAGAGACACATTAGCCAGAGCAGCACACATCAACGCGGCCGGATCGGGCAACGGAGGGAAAAAAGGGATGTCGGGAAAGGAGAAGACCTATCCCTGCTGCCAGAAACCAGACCGAAGCTGCAAGAGGAGCCCAAGGTGCAGTTCCCTTCCAAGGAGCGGAGGTGGCTCCAGAAAGGTCCTTGCTGGGGATGTCTGCATGGGAGTTTCATGGCAGGGGTCCCTTGTTGGGTTAAAAAGGGAGCCAGATGTTCTGCTGGAAAACTCAGTTTCCAGGTCCAGAAAGACAGTCAGAAAGACCTCAGTGAGCAGCTAGGAGGCACCCAAGGAGACTGAGGATGAGTGCGCAGGACACCCACGATTCTGCAGCAAGCAGAGTGGCTCTGCAAACCCTCACAGTGTGAAAATAAGTGTGGGAGGTAAAAATTGATGCCATCCACATGGGGAGAGAAATGCACATGGGCAACACAACATGGGCATAAGCTGAAAGAGCTCAAAACCCCCAGGAATTCCAGCAGAAACAGAGGGGCTATCCTGGCACTAAGGTGCCCTGGCAAGCCCAGTCTCTCTGCAGTGCAGCCACTGTAAAAGAGGGAAGTGGAAATCTGGGCAATTCCTTCTTTTCTCCCAGCACCAGTCCTATAAGCAAAAAAACTGTCCGAATTTTTAAGGCAGTAACAGCTAAGGTAGAAAGGGGGCATCCAGGCAAAGAAAACTGCACATCCTCTCCTGCTACCACGGGCCCAGGACATCCATGGGAGCCCCTTGCTCTGCAAGGACATGGGGACAGGGCTCCCTGCCATGGGGTGAGAACTGAGCAGCTCTCAGCAGCATCTTCCACTCCACTGTGCCCTGCGAGAGTCTGGCCTCATTCCTGACCACCGACACGGAGCTCGGCCCCAAGCACAAACTCACCGGGACAGTTGCTCCCTTCTGCATCCGCAGCCGCCGTCTTGCCATCGGAGCAGCATCCGAGCGGGGTGTTGTAACACGTCGCCCTCTCGATGGCCGGCGTGGGGGTTACCTGGCTTTCTTCCACCTCCTCTTCACCTGCGCAGCATTTAGAAGAATATTTTACCAGTGGGAGACAGGACCTCAGCGCCGCATTAAGAGAACTGGGCTGAGAGCCCCATGGTAGAGAACCCGCACCAGGCGAGGTTCAGGTTGATATTAGGAAAAAAATCTACATGAAAAGAGTAGTCAAGCATTGGAACAGGCTGCCCAGGAAGTGGTGGAGTCACCATCCCCAGCAGCGCTCAAGAATCATGTGGACGAGACACTCTGTGACATGGTTTAACAGGCATGGTGTTGAAGGACTTATGGTTGGACTTGATGATCGTGAAGGTCTTTCCCAACCATAATTATTCCATGATTCTATGGGAAAGCTTCATGTCTACCTGGGGGCCAAGCCATGCCATGTGTCTCAGCACACCCACCAAGCTAAGCAGACTCACCAGCAGACCCTGCCCCGCTGGATTCCTGGTCTCCACTCATGCCCATCTCCTGGTCTCCGCTGCCTTCTGCGCTGCCAGACTCAACGTAGGCAGGTTGGGTGGTGGCCAGGACCACCGGGGCCGTCGAGAGGGGTCGGACGGTTGTCTTATGCACCCCATGGGTCACCCATGGCGTGGTGGCCGGTCTGGCGGTTGTCACTCGTCTCGTCGTGCCGTGACCTCTCGCAGTAGGGCCGGCTTCCAACAGCAGCGAGCTGGTAGCCACCTCCGTGGGCTCAGGAGCCTGGGTAGTGAGCCGGAGCGGGGGAGGAAGAATTAATTTGTCCAGGGGAAGTGTGGGCAGGGGTCTGGGCGGTGTGGTGTGGCTTGCATGAGTGATGGTCTCTGAAAGGAGCAGCAAGACAGGGTGGTTAAGGGGGGAAGGCTGGAAAAAGAATGGTTGCAAACCCCCAAGCATCTGCGTGGGGCAGAGCATTAGCTGTGCCATGGAGGGACGATGAGGAGCCGCAGAGGGTGGCAGTCCGTGTCAGGGCAGGAGAGGTGGCACTTGCACCCGGCAGGGACACTCACCATGGCACTGGCCCGCGTGCTTCACGGTGATGACCTGTCCCTGCCGGCACGCAATGGTCTTCAGCTGGCACTGGTCCCCATACGTGACACCGTCAGAGCCACACACCTGCATGGGCAGAGGGGAAGTGGAAAAGTGCATGTTATACCTCTGCTCTCCCCCAAGTTTTGGAGGAAATAAGCCCATTTCTACATGCTGGGCAGGGCAGAGGCTGTGCAGGTCCTTCTGTGGCAAAGGGGATGCAAGTTGCAGAAGCCCAGGAGCAGGGCAGCTCGGAGGCACTAAATGAGGCACGGAGGGAGCCCCGGGACATCCACGACCCCCACGTTGCCTTCTGACCACAGTGGCCCCGCTTCTTGCGGGAGCATCCTTGTCCCATGCCACCTGCGCCAGCCCCACGTGTCCCTGCACACTGAGTCCCCTCACAGCCTCCCTTGGTCATTGCAAACCTTGGTCATGTTGGCCTCGGAGCAGAGCGGGGACGGGCACTCGCAGTGGGCAAAGCCATTGACTTCCACGCACGAGGCCCCAAACTCGCAGCTCATCTCCTCGCAGGATTTGGGGGCTGATGGGTCTGGGGTAAGGAGAGAAGGGGAAGAGGTAACAAAGCAGATACCAATGACAAAAAAACAGAAAAAAAAACAAACAAAAAAAACACCCTACATCCCCTGTGCAGGGGTTCAGCTTCCCAAGGGACCCTGCAGAGCCACTCGGACCGGTGGCAGTGCCAGAATGTCACCAAACAGAGAAGCAGCCCCCTTTTTCCCCCAAAAGCACATGCAGGCAGCATGAGGGATGCTCTTCTCTCGCGTTGTCCCCTGGGTACTCGTGTCCCAGCCTGTCCTGCTGGCATGGGGCTCCCTCACCTTTCTCGCAGCCCGTCATGCCCAGCTTGCTGCCGTTGGGGCACTGGTTGCATTTCATGCCAGTGATGCCGGTCTTGCAAGAGCACAGCCCCGTCATCTGCTCGCAGTCGTCACGCACCGAGCCCACCGGGTCGCAGCTGCAGGCTGGTCAAGAGGAGGAAGAAGAGGCTGTTTAGCTGCTGACTTTGTCTGCAGACAAGAGACCCTCCAGGTGTCCCAGCGAGTCAAAACGGACAGGGAACCACCTTTAATTATTGTCAAATAAGCACAGAATTGTATCCTGTTGTTTGCAGCCCCATCCCAACAGCACATTTTCTCTTAGCCTTTTTTATTTGGCACTTATCGATTTTCTCACTTACTTCTCCAATGGAGCTTGAAATGAGCTGGGTTTCTCTCCTGCTTTACTTCCCCATTTGCTCACGTCTGCTCCCAGCGGGATGAGCACCAAAAACGCTGCCTCATCCCTTCCCTCGCACCCACTGGCAGACACCAAGTGGGGACACTTGGAAGTCACAAGCGGTGCCTTCCAGCAGGCCTGGCCTTGGGGTTCGTGTATTTAAGTCCCGCTTATCCCCGCAATGAGCCCAGGGAGGTGAGTCCTGGCGGGACGCAGCACTCACGTGTGCAGCCGCTCTTGCCGTCGGTGACGATGGCTCGGAAATTCCAGAATCCGGGCTCGCAGCGGTCGCACTTGAGGCCCCCGACGCCCGGCTTGCAGGAGCACTGCCCCGTGGTGGGGTCACAGGCCCCACCATAAGCGCCATACGGGTTACACTGGCAGGTGCCTGCAAGACACATAGGGATAGTGAGAGTCCTGGTCCCAGGGGAGACGCTGGAGAGCGCCCGGATTCGCTCCAGGGATGGAGAGCATCAGCCAACCCTCATGCGCCCCAGCTATGAGGGGGGACTAAACCCTTGAGGATTTGCCCATTAACCTTACCAGCATCTCAAACCTCTCTCATTGGAACAACCCAGGGAGAGACTGTCTCTCTGGGCATCTTCTGGGATATCCAGCATGGACTCAGCAACACACAAGTTCTGAACAACCATCTAATGTTCCTGCACTTAAGAGTGCCTTAGACCACGTAGGGACACAGTTTAGTAGGCATGGTGGTGATGGGTTTATGGTTGGACTTGATGGCCTTGAAGGTCTTTTCCAACCACAATGATGCAACCATCTAATGTTCCTGCATTTAAGAGTGCCTTAGACCAGGCAGGGACACGGTTTAGTATGCATGCTGGTGATGGGTTTATGGTTGGACTTGGTGGCCTTGAAGGTCTTTTCCAACCACAATGATTCTATGATTCCATAGACTCAGGACTTTAGAAAGGAGAGGAGCATCCCTGGTAGGAAGCAGAGGAGCATGACCAGCAGACACAGAAGGTAGAATGTGTTTGCACATCTCCATGCACGCATGGAGCCAGGCTGGAGCCTGCAGCAGAGCAAGGGGATAAATTGAAGGCTTCCTCAGCCTGGGAGGTCACTCATCTTGCTAGAGAGAGACCACCTTTCTGCATCTCCTTAGGATGGGATCCCGAGCCTGCCCGACCTGATCTCTGCTCACATCCACCTGCCTTGGAGGTGCCCAAGGCTGGGACCACGGCATTCACTTACTTGGACACCCGGCTGAGCCCACTCCCAGCGCCAAGGTCATGTTATCCGGGCAGCATCCATAGACGGTCTGGCTGCAGTGCACGGCTGGTAGAGGCGATGAGGTTGTGGCAAGGGCTGCAGGGGAACACAGGGGCACGGGTTACACTTGGCAACTGGAGCACACGGAGCAACACGGACACTGCTAAAAAAAAGGGCACCTCCTCGTGGAGTGAAGAGCGTGGGGGACCAGGCTGGTTGGTGCAGGGGGATTTAGAGCCCACAGGTTTGGCTACCCCGGACAGGACTCACCGCGACAAGCTCCTTGGCTAGTGACATAGAGGTCCTGGCGCTTCTCACACCGCGTCTTCTTCAGCTCGCACTCGTTGGCATAGGTGACACCGTCGGAGCCACACACCTGCACGAAGGCAGGGAAGATGCTCAAACCATCCCCGATGGGGAACGGAGCTTCCCCACCCACGGGGTGTCCTGCCATGCCCCAGGAAGGGAGCAGGGTGACAAGGGGGAGGGGGACAAGGACAGCAGCGCCCCGGGCACGGACGGGGCTGCGTGGCACGGCCAGGCAGGTGAAGTCGCACACGCAGCGCTCGTCCTCCGCGTCCTCGTCCC